GTGAGTGAGTGAGTGAGTGAGTGTGTGTGTACCTACTTAACCATATTTTGGGGACAAATTTGTAAAACTGGTATAAAAATAAAGTAAACAAAGTTTTTTTTTAATTGTAAAAATGCAGAAAGTTTCCTGTAAGAGGTAGAGTTAGGTGTAGGGTGATAGAAAATACAGTTTGTACAGTTTAAAAACCATAATGCCTATGGAATGTCCCCATTTAGATAGCATGTAAATGGTAAACGTGTGTGTGTGCGTGTGTGTGTGTGTGTGTGTGTGTGTGTGTGTAAGTGTGACTGGGTGTGAGGGGTGGAAGTATATAAACAAAGGAACATGTAGAAAAGTACAACAGACATAACAATAGTAGAAAAACGTAATAGTAATAGTAATGATGACAATAGTAATAATGATGATAATAATAGCATTAATGACAAAAATCAGAGGAAGGAGGATGAGGAAGGTGATAAGTAATAATAGTAATAGTAATAGCAATAATAATAACAACAACAAAAATTAATAATAAAAAAATATAAAAACAATTAAATTAATTAAATAATAATAATAATGAACTCAATTAATCAGAAATGAGGGGAAAGTTGGAGGATGTGGAAGATGACAAATAGCAAAATAATAGTATTAATTAGTAATTAGTAATAGTAGCAATAATAACAATATTAACAATAAACTCATTCATCAGGAACCAGGGGGAGGTTGGAGGATCAGGAAGAGGACAAATAGTAATAATAATAATAATAATAATAATAAAGCTATAAATAGTGAGATATTGTAAGGCTGCTTCTGGGCCCTCCATGAGCACAGCATAAGTTGGGCCCCCCGCCCATGTCACCCTACAACGGGCCATCAAGGAGAGGTGTTGTGGGCCACAGGGCCCAAAGAAAAAAATATTTTTTATTTATGCATTTATTTCCATTTAATCGTCAACTATTTTTATTAGCTATTTTATCAATTAGTTGTTGCAGCTCAAAGATCTACACAAATCTGTCTTGATTGTTCATTCATACAAAAATGGCCAAGGAGACATACCAATTGTTCCTGGTTCTTCATCTGGTCAGCTGCTTGTTTGGCCAGTGCTGCTCTGGCCTCCTCGGCTGCCAGTTTCTCTTTCTCCAGCCTCTCTGCCTCCTCCTTTGCTTTTCTTCGCTCCTGTTCAAGCTCTAGAGCTCTGCGTGTTTGCTCCTCCAGCTCTACACAAACACAGACACACATGGAGTATAACATGTATTGGTTATATTAATCAGAATGTAGCAGAAAGTAGCATTATTTTACTTCCTGATGTAGAAGTTGGAGAATTAAGGGAGGTTGCCCTTGATTCTCTAACATCTACATCAGTACACTGATCAGGAAGGCAAATTCTATGAGGGCAACTTCAGCAGGCAACCACATGAGACATCGTAAATACTGGCATAATACTACAAAATGCCTGTGTAGCTGGAGATTGTTTTTCGATCCCTCAGATCTTTCCTATATGCCAAACACAGACAAATCAGCAACCCAAAAACCGCAACAAATATAGCTAATGGGAAACATGGGAACTCAGGAGGAGGATGCAAAAGGAAACAAATCTTTTTTTTAAGGGACTTCAAAGTGTTTTTACTGGTTTAAGATAATTACCTTATTTTAAAGTTATGAAAATTATCAGCCCTACGAGAGGCGAGAGATTTAGGTTTAGTTAGTTTAACACTCCACTAATGTGGAGAAAGTCATTTAGCCTCTGACATCACATATTTTTTATAGCTGCTTTCAGCTTGGAATATAACACATTTCTATGAAAGTCTTGTACAAATCTTAATTCCTAACATCTGTACCTCTACAAGACACAAATAACAACAAAAAATGGAAAGGAAATAAATAGGAATAACAACTTTTAAAATGAGAAAAAAAGGTTCCATACCTTCTGTTGTTGATGTCAAGGTTGTGAAAAATTAAAGGGGTCATGAACTGCATTTTTTAAAATTATTTTATAATGTTCTCTGAGGTTCACTTATAATGTTAGTGTGATTTTACATAAAAAAACATCATAATTTAGAAGTAAGACTATTTTCTGTCCTGTTTTTGAGCCTCTCTGCAGAACGGTCTGTCTTTATAGGTGGGGTGCATTCAAGACTCGCAAGTAAACGCCCACTGCTATGATTGACTAACAGTTTCGCTTATTAAAATAACAGATGGACGCTGCTGTGACGTACTCTGAATACAACATGGGTCATTTGGGTTAAAAACGTATAAAAACTCAGTATATATCAAATGGTCTTATTACATTTGAAATATGGATATTTTTCTTACAAAAACGCATGGATTCACTACAGAAGGCCTTTATTCACCCCCCGGAGCCGTGTGAAGCATGTTTTATTATGGATGCGTGCGCTTTATTTGACGACTTGTGGACTGTTCAACTGCAACACCCGCTGACTGCAATGATAGAGCTTGGAATAGCCAGGACAATTTTTAATATAACTCCGACTGGATTCGTCTGAAAGAAGAAAGTCATATACACCTAGGATGCTTCGAGGGTGAGTAAAAAACAAGCCAATTTTCATTTTTAGGTGAACTAACCCTCTGAAGTCCAGATGTTTGTACCTTTCTGTGCTTTTATCGTCTGTTCTTCAATCTGTCTCAGTCTCTCGATTAACTCATCCTTTTCTCGCTCTATTCTCTCCTTCTCCTTTTCTGCATGCTCTCGTTTCTTCTTCTCATTCTCAAGCTGAGCTCTGATGGAGACAGAGTAAATTTGATTTGTGCAGCAACACCTCAAAGTTCCATTTGTCTGATGCCCAGAGTCATCACTTCCAAGAAAACAGAACTAGAAAAAAAGTTGCATAAAATTAAAAGTCCACGTAACACGTAACTTCAAAAAATTCAAGTAGACTAAGATTCTAAAGCTCAATTAATATAGATTACTTTTACGATGTCCTCATTAACTTTTTGAAGCTTGAAATTTATGGTTGCATGGACTTTCAATGGCTAGACAGAATACTACTATGTAAACTAAGTATAAATAAAAATGCATGAAAGATAAAAATGTATTGAAAAGAATGTTTATGTCAATTATGTCATGTAAAGTGTTCATTGTCACCTCTCTATCTGTTTCTGGTGTTTTTCTTCTCTGGCCTGAGCCTTCATCTGCTGCACCTCAATGGTGTCAGGCTTCCTCCTCCTCATGTACAGCTCATGGTTGCCCATACACAGAGCCAGGATGCGCTTGTTGATTCGCAGTCGTGGTGCATAGAACACAAAGTCCTGCCATCACAATTGAAAAGATTCAGTGAACATGTTCATATTTGATCTCTGCATGCTATGACTGATATTACTGATTTGGCTGATATGACTGATACTTGTTCTCCATATGTACAAAGTTTTGAGAAGTTTGGACTTTGTGGCCACAAATGATTTAGGCATATTTGTCATAATGGGCAAGTCCCAACAAATATGCCATATTGTATCTGCTAAATTTAATGGATTAAATTATTTTGACAACTTAAACGGTTTTTGTTCTTCAGAAAAAAACAAAAATGAAATATACATGTGTTAAGGTTTAAAGCAAGTGTTCTGTACAAAAAAAGAAGTTTGACACTATCACGTATGGTTGTTTAGTTATTAGCAAAGTTGCTTATTATAGTGCCACCTTGAGAACTTGTTACACAAAATTTGTACTCGTTTTCACAATGTACGAATGTGTCAATAATTATAATGGTATGCTATTCGGATTTGACATTCTTAGTCACTGAATTTTGATTGGCTGCTGAGTCACATTACAGAACATATCAGGACGTCCAATAAAGAAAATTCATACCAATTTACAACTGTATGGTTACGGCATTATTATAGATATTCGTTTGTAAACACCATATCAATGTCTTACCCCAAAATTATGTGAATGTAAACATGGTCCAAATTGAAAAACTTCTGTAGTTCAAACTGACAGAATAATCATAAATAGTAATCAAAATACTTACGGGTGCTTTTTTATCAATGGGCTTGATGACAAACTTCTTATCGTTGAAAGAAATATTTCGGATCTCACTCCAAGGGAAACCAATCTTTGGTGTGAGCCTTAAAGAAAAACAAAGAGAGGGATGAACAGGATTAAAAACACCTTTATCCACATTATTCAGAAAGTCATGTCAAAAACAGCCAGCAGTGGGCAGCAGAGGAAAACACTTAGTTCATGTGCTGACAGACCATCAAATCAGCTGAGCTCTTAGAACCTAATATTAAAGTATTTTTTGGAGTTGACTGACATAAGCACTATGACCCCATAGGGGTGGTTCAAAGAAAGATTATTTTCCTGGCCAAGGAAGAATAATCTGTCCTTCTTTGTGCAGTGCTAGCAGTA